ATGAATTGTGTCATTGATATAGACAATTAATGATATTGGGCCAAGGATAGAACCTTGAGGTACCCCAAAATGAATGTTCTCGATTTCAGAATAGCTGCTGTCTATAAAAATAGCTTGTCTCCTACCATTCAAGTACGATTCGAATAATTTCTATGCAGTACCGCGTATATCGTAAATTGTAGTTTGTCTAATAGTAGTATTGAGGAAAACAGTCGAAGGCCTTGCTCAAGTCACACATAGACACCACCGTATGTTGACCCGCCTCAAAATCCTCGACTATATCAGCCAAAATTTTTAGAATGGTATCAAGAACTTCACTTTGAGTTATTGGATGGAGAAAAAACGAGGCTCTCGGTGATTTCCGTGGGTCAAGAAAATTGATTGCATTCTGATCGCAAACAGGTTGTGCCCTTATAACATCACTTGAGATTTTGATATAAAAATCATCAAGTCAGAAAATAGGGTTCAATTGACCATTATGATTCCATGAGTCGTTCGGAGAGATATCAGTTGAGTAGAATAATAAGTGTTGAATTTATTGAAATCACTCATTTTCTTTCATCATGCTGACAAAATAATAAGACTGATGGAACACCAAACTGTAACGGATACTGGCGATGAAGGAAGGGGATATCACAATTCACTGTGTTGTTCTCTCCCCTCAAACATCAGAATCAAATGGGCTTGTCTTGAAGCGTAGAATAATTCTTGATTGTTTTTAACCCTTGTTACTGTAGACCAATTTAGTTACACTGGGATAGGATCCACTTCAGTTTACTTGAGAGTTTTAATTCGGTTTTGCGTTCCCAATATTGAAATGACTGAACGAGTGAAAATAATAAATGATTAATATCGAATTGAAAGTGTCACTGTATGAAAAAAACAAAGTGTCAAAGTCATGAAATTTTTTTCACTTGCCAAAGGCTGCTTCAATAGGAAAAATAACAAAATACAGGATCTTACCTCAGGATTTATTGCACTCAACGTCATAACTCCTGATCGATATTCTATTTCCAGAAACCATCAAGGAAACTCAAGGCTTTTGTTTCACACTCCTCCAACTAGACTTCTCTGATTCTTAATATCCGGAACTCCGGCAGTCTCCAGCAGTAGCCACCATGGACCTATGTATTACAGTGCATTCAGTCACGTTGAAGACGATCTTCTCTCTGCATACAACAAAACCTCTGAATATTCCACGTCCTCCACGTTCGTTAAATTCATAGATTTTGTCAAATTCCCATTTTTTTTTTTCTGTTGTGTCCAATTTATTTGTTTTTATGTTTTCAGTTGTTTCCGTTTTGTAGAATATATATGTTGAATCTGTTAAAATATATTTTTGAGCTAACCATCTGTTCCTCTTCTGAGAATGACAACTCTTAGAATTCTGAACTTGTGCGGGCTGAGAATTATTGAGGTTTCATCTTCCAACGTGCGATTTCTAGCGTGAGAATAATTGTATATCTCGAATCACTTTCATTGATGCCACTGGTGTGGCATCAACAAGCTATTCAAGATATCCCCAAAAGAAATTTTCCAAAGGGTTCAAGTGTGGAGATATAAATAATCATGGTTGCGGTCCCCCACGACCTATCCACTGGTGAGCAAAGTATCAGTAAGATATTAACGAGTGGTCACACTGAAATGAGCAGGTGCCTCGTCGTACATAAACCACATATTTCGTCTTACCAGGGAAGGTACATCCTCTAACACTTCTGGCAATGTGTCTTTTAAAAATTGTCTATACGTCAAACCGTGGAGTTAAGGAGAAACATAATGCGGCACTATGAGGCAATTCCCCCCCAGACGTTCACTGAACATTTCTGAAGTATCATGGGGACTCTCGTAGGTCCAAAAATGATTGTTATGAAAGTTTATGATGGCATCCCTTGTGAAACTTGCCGCATTTACGAATGAAACTTCACAAGTAAAATTAAGACTTTGTACAATTCTTTGAAGAAACTGCTGACAAAAATCCAATCGTCTAAGAAAATATCGCGGTATCAGTTCCTGCACCCGTTGCTTGTGGTATGGATACAATAAATTTGTATGCAAAACCTTCCAAACACATCGAACACTGAATTGTAATCGCGTGAAATCGGGTGAAGTTCTCTCTGCTGGAATGTCTCTGTTAGGATATCTTTCTTGATAGAGTCGATGGGCGTCTGCAACATTTTCATCTGCTAGTCGATAAAGAAATGCATTTCGGCTAACTCATTTACTTGATTGTATCCACAATTGTGTTTGCATGCTAAAATAATTTGGTGATACTACTTGTCACCTACTGTCAAGAAGTTTCACGATACTGGTGAGTTGTACCCACTGTGGTTAACAACATCATTCTCTTATCGTGGGTATTATTTGAAAATTCCAGAATATCGTACGGGCAGTGTCGTGGTTGAATAATTTCCTTATATCAACTTTTCTGGGTTTGACAGGTATTAAAATCTAAATTAAATAATTTGTATCCCTTTTCCTTATATATTCAATCCAGTCTCACTATTTTTCGGTTTAGAAGGCCGCTAATTTTCGGAATTTCTTTCTGCATGCATGCCTCATAGTGACATTGAAAACGTCGACCGCGAAAGCCTTAACCATTTTGACGTATACTTTGATTCGACAATATTCAAAAATAAAAATTATAAAGCAACATTTTTAAGAAAAAGTTTTTATACAAATGCACTGAATATGAAAAATTAATTTCTTTCATTATACGATTACTTTTAAGGACAAAACACAAGCACTACAAGAAAATCCTAAAGGCACTTTTAGAGCGGTGCCTGTAGGAAAGTAACGATTCACATTGAATTTCAATCGCTGGAAATTAAATCCGTGTGGAAAAACGTCCTCGGCAAGTTTATTCCACATAAATGCAGTTTTCCAGATGAAATAGTTCTTAAACAGGTGTACTGAGTTGAAACTCAACTCAAACGGATGAGCAGCCAGAGTCCGTGGCGTATTTCTGATATGTACCGCTCTTGGTGGAATCAAATGTGTCACACCACCCGTGAAAGTATCTATTAAAGAGAGACAAATCTCGAACCTTTCTTCGATGTTCCAGGTTCAAGGTATGTTTGTGGTTAGAGCTCCATACATAAGAACAATACTCCAAGGAAGGCCTGATCTGAGCTTCATAAAACATCAAAGGTAACTGAGGTGTGTATAGTTGTCATGTTCGGAACAGTGTATCAAGCATTTGAGAAGCAGCCTTTGCAATTCCAGTGACATGATTGTGTCAAATTGTGTCGGTTTTAACCCCCAACAAACTTATCGAAGCAGAAAGCGGAATTGTCTGACCTGATATCATTATATTCGGTTCGGAGACATCTAGATTCTCTGAGTGAGATTTGTGACGCGAATTAAATGATTGGAACGAGAAAATAACTTTTTGAAAAGAATTTATTTTACAAACTAGAGACGACTGTCTCTTACGAGAGCTACAAACAGAATGACAATATATAAAGTTTTGTCCTATTTTCTGTCACACACTCATAAAACATATTCACAGATCTGCCTCCCAACATATTTCGCTAATATACTCCGCTAATAATTGACCTGTCTGATTGCCTGCTTGGCAACTCATTTATACTTGAAACGTTTTACGCCTATGTGATTTTTTGTCTTTGAGTGCATATTGTGTTCTACTATTTTATACAGTACGATGCAAATGTATGGAATAAATTCGATATTCACAAAAGGAGCGTCTTTAGGAAGAAATCCAAAAACAGGTCAAATTTAATTTTTGACGGCCCATCTCATGATATTCATATGAGAGACGTTTCGTCACCAGTGTTGGCGTGATGACGTAATCGACAATTTTTTTAAATGCAAACAGGGGTCATGTGGCACCCCATTCAAAAGGTCTACTAGTCGTCTATTCAACGGTATAATGGTTTCAATATGTATTAATACAGGGTCAACCGAAATTATGTATTCAGAAGACTGGAATTACAAATAATAGTAATTCGTTGAACCAAATAATGCTATGCACCGCCACTGAGAATAAAGTATCGTACTGTCTTCTATTGTTTTTGTTGATTAGAAAAAAGAAATGGTGATAAAAGTCCTACACTCTACTTGAGNTGGGAAATATATCATGAATATACATTGATTTCATTAGTTTGGACTTCCATTGTATACTATGATATAAAACGAATAGAAATCCCTGAAACAACCAATACATAAAAAAAATTAAAATGAATAGTTGAAAATAACAATTATATTTAGCAAGCAGAGAGGTGGAAGAGGGGAATAGGTGATAGGATTCGAATAACCTATAGTCATCTCTCCGAGGAATAATCTAGTCATAACCTGAAGACGATTATGGATACTAACAATCGAAACGTCGTGGAGCAACTTATCTTAAAATCGTTTAATTTTCATTTTCCGTTCAATTGATTTATCAATTCTATTGGTTCTTTCAGGGATTTACAATAATTTTATATCATATTGGACAATGGAAGTCCGAACTAATCAACCACGAAACATTGTCTACCACCTTTAAACAAACATACATACTCATTGTTACACAACCTTGAAGAAAAGTTTGATAAAATCTAGAACTTTGGTAAGGAAACAATTGCTTTTTTCAAGAAAAGTTGATCCTACTTTCAACCAACCTCTCTTTTGGATATAATTCATTGGATAACTGAACCAATCAATCATTTGATTAAATTATAGTCGCAATGATTTCAGAAGTCAAAGAAATAAAACATGTGTTCACTGAATTAACCATGGAATATCGAATATATGGAAACTTTCGAAGATTTTACAATGATCTGACAAAAATCACATATTTTGTTTATATGTTATTTAGAATTATCATTTTCTGATGTCGAAATCAACCCCTGTGAAAATATTCATACCAATTTGAGAAATCGTGAGGATGAAACTCAAAAGTTATTTCTATAGGTGCTGAATCAAAGAGAAATGATGAATTTCCACAACATATATTCATTATAGAGTATATTACATGACTCAATAGAAACCCTCTTTTTCAGGGTTCATCAAAGCGACAACCGAAGAATTCTACAAAGAAGTGAGCAGAGCATCAGTCGAAGTCTTGCTTGAAGACAGACAGAATGGCACATTCATTATAAGACCGTCTACAAATTCCAATCTGGGCACAATGTCTGTTATCCAAGATAATAAAATATTTCATCTGAGCATAAGGAGAAGGGGAGACGGATACATAGCCCTTGGAAATGAAAAAAGCAACGAGAAATGTTTCAGTGACCTGGATTCTTTAATTGATTATTACATTAGTAATTATTTGGTGTTATATTCGAATGGAGAAACGACACTCACTTTATTGATACCTTTCAAAGAAAATAAAATCCTGTGACATTTTCATGTCTTTTCTTTCGTTAATTATATTCCGAATTGAACAGTTGGAAAGGAGTACTGCCTGTTGATATCAGATAATTTATTTCACTTGATAATCTCAAACATTTTTTCAACAAGCATCAGTTTAATACCATCTATGGAATTTAAAGGGATGTCAATTCTATTTGTAGTTGCAAAAACAAGTTCCGACATCGACTGCCGAACGAGATTTGTCTTCTGTGTTCCACTGCAGCTTTCACTGCAAGGCAACTAAATGTACTTGTGGTCTCACACGAGATAGTGATGTTTCAACTTATCAATGTAGCATCAGTGCTCTAATAGGCTGAACCACTCAACTGTCCTAAAATGGCTTGCCGGCGGAAGATGTCGGAGTTTGGTTTTGCAACGGATCGACTTGGAGTGTCGTGTATCTTTGATATTCCTCGCCTTGCGTCTCTCATCGATCCCATTTATGACGCCTTCGTAGTGGGAGATGCCATCAACGTTACTTTCAGGCTTGTCCTTTTCAGGACACTTGAGTGGTTCCGATAAATTGGCTCAAAAAAGTGTTTCAACTCCTATTATTTTAAAACTGATTTCAACCACTGGATTAGATCACTGAATTTACGTAGTTTTTACGACACGATTTGATATGACTTCTTTGGAAAATAGAAGAGTTATCCTTGGTATCAAATTCCTGCATAAATTACTAATCAACAATATTAACAGTACGGTTCTTTTACCCAAAATCAATTTCTTAGTACCAAGAAGTGAAGGTCGACACAATCTTAAATTTTATTGTGAAGCATCACGCACAAATATTATGCTACGATCACCATTGAATTTTATGTGCAGTAGCCTTGGTTTCTTGTATCCACAATCACTTTTAATAATACTATAAATAACTTTTATGTCAGTACTGTTAAATTGCACGATTCGTAACTTTTTGTATTATATACTCAATTTTTCATTCTTTTTTTGAAATTTTACTCATACGAATATTTTATATATACTTTGTTTCAGCATTTACTTTTATATATTTTTATATTCCAAACTGTGTCGATTAGTTGTCAAAAAATAGAACATGCAAAATTTACGGAAATTGAGTACGAAGTATGGAGCACTTCTGGTTATTATATCGGAAATCTCGCCGAAAATAGGTTCGAAATTTATCATTTATATTCTGAATCCAATTGTTGATTGATTTTATATGAAGTTGATATAATTGATTTTTTTTATTGAAGACAATCAATTTCATTGAAAGTAATGCAAATTATGAAACAACAACAACAAAAATTAATTGACGCTCCGGGCCGACTGGATTAATTAATTAATAACCTGCAGCACCGCATCATCTGAAAATCTTGATCTGTCAATGTCCTCTCTTTGATAAAATGAAATGTAGGGTGTCTCCAGAGGCTCCAATGAATTCAAGATATTAAAAAATTGATTGACGCTCCGGGCCGACTGGTTTAATTAATTAATAACCTGCAGCACCGCATCATCTGAAAATCTTGATCTGTCAATGTCCTCTCTTTGATAAAATAAAATGTAGGATGTCTCCAGAGGCTCCAATAAATTCAAGATATTACCAGAATATTTAGTGGCACGACTACCGTCAAACTTGAAACATTCCGTTTCATCTTTGACCAATACGTAATAACGACCAGATTCAACGCCAGCACCACAGTAAATAATGACTGCAAGATTATAATAGTGGTCTGCTAGATCATCAGTGTTATTATTAGATTGACTGGTGCCCCAGTTATCTTACAATAGTCAGTTAGTTTGGCGCATCTATTTTCAGATGAAAATTATACAGGATTTGTACAATACAAAAAATCGCTTTTCCTCCCATTTCAGGAGGCCATTTCTATCGAAACTAGAGGGCTATAAAACTTTTCAGTCCTTTTTAATATTCTTCACTTTCTATTGGTAACTATTCAGGGAAAGATCCAAACTGTGAAATTTTCGCAACAAGAAGTTTTGAAAACTTATTCTTTACAACCATTTTATATACTAACAATACTAGCTACTATCGGTGGTGCAATTCTAGGCTGGAGATACTTCTCTGAAAAAACGAATATAATCATTAATTTGTTGGTAAACCCAGATGAATGAATTAATTATTACATTTCACGATACTGTTGATATCTGGTAGGAAAAAATTTAGCAAAGTCGAGTTATTCAAATCAATTCCATCCATCGTCCATTTTATATTGTGAATTTCCTTATTTACTAATTTCCAAACTCTCCAGAATTTTAAGTTTCAAACATTTTCTCAGGAAATGAAGAGTTTTCAATAATTGAACTCGTTTTTTATTCTGTAAACTGTTTTGATGTTTTAAATGCGTGCTACAAATGTTCTTCCAGTTCAATCTATGTTAAAAATCAAACATGATCCACAAGCAATTTATAAATGTCTGATCTTTCTGAAACCAAACTTTTGTTTTTGTTATTTTTAATATGCATTCGCAATTCATCACATAAGAAATTGAAACTTAGGTTGATGTTCTGTAATTTCATCTTTTTTCATTAGAAATTTTTGAATGGAAATTTGATTATGAAGGGTTCTGAAATTCATTAATTTTTTTCGAACCAACTAAAGATAATATTGAGACCTATGTTCCTTTTAGAAATAATGCTGAGTGGATCTTTAAAATGTCTGTTTTCTAAGAAACATATTTTATCTAAACTGTTAGAGTGATTTGATATTTTAATATTATCACATGTAATTATATGGTCCATGTTGATAAAGTGTTGCCTTAGAATGTGACTCTTCTTGTTATTTTAGATATCGCTTTTGTGCGTAGTGATTCTGTCTTTGGGGAATCTGCTGGTTTGACCTATACCAATTTGGTTGCATTCTGCACAAAAATTCGCATGAACTATTTAATAATTATGTAATAACGTATTGTTGTCTTTCAATATCATGAAAACATTATTGACGGTGAGATTAGTTTTGAATGCAACAGCTTCATTTTGAAACTGTTAGATAATTCGATTGAGTGTATAAAATAAGTTATTGATGCGGGAAGTTGGATAATATTTAGATATTGTTTTAAAAAAATCACTTCAAAATCTGTTTTTCCACGGGTTGGACGATAGCAGGTGAAAATCGATCGTTCACTCTGGGGCTTGAACCACCGACCAACACGGCGTTAGGTACAAAGAAAATTATTTTTCCCGTATTGCATTTCCCATGAAAACTTTGTGTGGCCATTCTCTTTTTGAATGAATGAAAAGAGATTACAGGCTTTATTTCACTAGAAAGCATTGATCACATCTTTTGTTTTCAAGATGAAGAATGTGAATTTCAACTTTTCCAATGCAACAAATCTGTAAATCTGACGGTATTCACAATTCAAAATTAAATATTGGAAATGACTGTATTCCATATCAAAATTAGTTCAAACTGAAAATTATGACATATATTTGCAATTTACATATTTCCATGAGTTTCAGAAAACTGAAGGGAAAATAAGAATGACCCAAATTGAACAACACCCCATATCAATTAGCAATCATTCCGAAATTAAAAGCAACAAAAGCGTTTTACTTTGATGAAGTAATACTTTTTTGAAAACAATTGAACTTTTCCACCCAATTTTCTATAGAATACTCTGAGTTCCTAAATTATTTTGAAGTTCATTGTTGACCTCGAAACAATTCCTTGCAAAACTTGGAAATTTTCCGTAAATGTACAAAATGTGCCAATTATTAAATTTATCAACCACAAAAGTCATCAATCCAATGCAAAAATGATGTTGATTTTCAATTCAGATTTTCGATAAATGAAACATGTATATTAATGAACATAATGTACTGAAAAAATGTTTGTCTTCAACTTCAGAAGTGATCAAAAAACGTTTTTGTACAGTTGTCATTAAAAGTGACATTTTCAATGATTGTCCAGAGTATTAAAAGATGTTGTTTACAAAGTAGCATGTTGAAAATATTTTTAACACTAGTGTTAAAAGTATTTCCAACACGATTTTTTTCGACCAAATAGCAATAAACAAAAACAATAAGCTTTGCACGGACTGGTTATCAATCGTATTAGTCAATATTATTATTTATGAATACGCTACGCTCGTTTGGCAAACGTTTACACTCACAAAATGAAACCTCACTTTGAACCCTCATATCATAAATATCTATTTTGAGAAATCTAGAAAAAAATGTTCAGACCATGAAGAAATGTGATATCACGGAACATAATCCGAATCTAAAGGTATTGTTGTAATGAAGTAACATTTCCGAAAATGAAAACCAAAGAGCTCTCAGAATATCAAAGAAAGATTACTCGATTCAAACCGAAAGATATTGAAAGAAAAACTGGTATAACTTCTACACCAGTTGGCTGTTTCTCCCCCGTATATAAATAGTGAGGCTTTTAGTACAATTGAATATTTATTATACCAGCCGCTTTTTATTAACTTCTTCCCTTCCGCCTTTCTGAGAAGGCGCCATGTGAAACGCTTTAAAAATCTAATTTGAAAGGTCGCTAAGCAAAAAGTAAAGCTAATTAAGGTTATAATTAGCGCTTTTGAACTGCAATTAAAAGTTTTCATGCGGCGCTTTGCAGCCCTATGAGAACAGTCTATGTTAAATCTCGGTGACATTATAGACCAAATATTTTTCAACTTCTTTGACATTATAAAATATGGTTTCTCGTGCAGTAAAGGGAATAATTATTCCATCATTCCGGAGTGAGTTGGAACTTTCTAGAAAATGAAGACACAAAATTTGGAGGATTTATTGTGCTCATTTTCTGAAGCTCGGCAAATGGTGAGCTATTTGTGACAAAGGCTCTGTCTCAATACTATTTTACTCTGTTTTTCATTTGGTGAGATGTAAACAAATATAATTTTATTTTCGTAGAAGGTTTAGTCGAAATGATTATCAGCTTCATTCTGAGGAAGACATTTTTTGTGAAGGTGTCAATGCTTCTTACTGTCTTTTCGGTACATACCCCTTACACAATCTGAAAAAAATACGAAACTGAATCAAAAGGGAATTC